ACATGACTACAGGCCAATCCAATAGTGGAAATTCCTCAATTGAGGTTCCCCCCCAACCCTTCTCGGGTAACTCTAGTTTGTGTCAAGATTGACAAAAACCAGCACATAGAGTAAGACCATATTTAAAAATGCAAAGAAGGGGTTGGAGAGATGACTCAGTGGTTAAGAGCACTCACTGGCTGCTCTTGAAGAGGACCCAGGTTTGATTCTCAGCACCCACTCCCAGCACACAGCAGCAGACAACCACCCATCCAGTTCTGGGGATCCAACACCGTCTTCAGACCTCCGCAGGCACTGCACAACACACGACACGTGTGTACTTACATACATGTAGGCAATACACACGTGCACACTAAAAAATAAAATTAAAAAATAAAAATGCAAAGAATATAATCAAATTAGAGTTGAGTAGAATATTTACAATTAAATGTATGAGAGTCACGCATATCTATTCAGCAGCAAATGTGTGGCTCCATCTTCAAGAGACAGTAATAGAAAAATACATCTGAAATTATTTTCCAAAACAAATGTTTTAAATGTTTTAAGAGGAGGAGGAGGAGGAGGAGGAGGCGGAAGAAGGAAGGGTCATTGAGCCCACTCCCTACCTTCTTTTCAAAGATATTTCCCATGCACCATTTCATCCTTACCCCTGGGGAAATAGTAGAGGAGGAGGAGGAGGAGGCAGAAAAAATGTAAGGGTCAACTCAGTCTTTAGAAATTTAGCACTTAAAACTTGCAAAAAAAAAGATGAGCATAGTAGTACATGCCTGCAATCACAGCTCTGGTAAAGCTAACACAGGAAGAGCATGAGTTCAAGGCCAACCAGGGCTACAAAGGAAGACCCTGTCTCAAACAAAAATGAATGTGTGTGTGTATACTCATATAAGAGTTTGACCGGTGTTACCCTACACAGGTGATAATGCTCCTCCCAGAAGCCACAGGTTGCCAAATTAAAAGTTCAATGCCAGGTGCAAGATGTCTCCCCTTGAGTTGTTGGTCAGGGATGTTTCTGACATCCCCTTTACTCCAAACAACAAAAGCAAGTGTCATTGCTTTCGGTTGCCCACCAAAACTTGATAAGATCCTATTGCTGAAGACACCATACATATCGGTCACAGGACATGGACAATCAAGTTAGTACTGACCAGGAAGCTTCCTCCCTGCTGGCTAGCTCTCATGGTACTGGAAAGTGTTATGAGAAGAAAATCATTAACAGTCTTACCCAGCTGTGAACCCTGGGAGCTACAATAATGACCAGTGTGGCAAGATATGCCCATGGGTACAACAGTGGCATGAATATTATAGGGATAACAAACTGCTTCTGATTGAATGTAAGGCCTGCTCCACAGGAGGAAATACATACCTCACACTGTAAATCTGGCCAAGAACCCATGGCTGGTGAGCACATAGGCCCCAGGGGTAAACCTTCCTCTGTTACTTTGCTAAATGGACATAGTAGCAAACTGTCTTCTAAATACATATCTCTATACACATAAGTTAGTACAGACTTCAGACCTCATCAAGGAAGTTTCTTTGTGCGGTGAATGGTAGTTACCACAGAAACAACTGGTCAAACTGTAGACAACATGTGGCTGTGGAGTGCTCAGCCACAAACAGGACATCTGTATCATACCCCCTTCCTCCCAAGGCTCAGGATCAGAAAGACTGTAAGAGCCAGAAGTTGGGGCACACCAGAGTGAGACACTGTCTTTTGGACATGACAGAACCACTGCAGTCATGGACTTAGCTACAGTGGTTGCCTGTCCAAGATCAAGTGAGTCAGCATCAGCATGAAGAGGAGAGGCTCATGGGCTCCCACCCTAGCTGAGGAGCTACTGACAGTTGATGGCTTCTGCGGGTAGGAGACTCAGTTTTCCTTAAAAGTGTGGCCCTAGTAGACTGACCATACTCCAGTGATGACCGCACACCCATGAGTTTTGGGGTAATTGGACTTGGTGGGCTATAAAGAGAGAGGACATGAAGCTGGGAGGGGATGGGAAGTATGGGGGTAGATCTGGGAGGAGTTAGGGGGAGGAGTGGGGGACAAATACGACCAAAATACATTGTATGCATGTGTGAAATTCTCAAAAAAATTAATGAAAATATATTAAAAAACAAACTTACTGAAAGTAACATGGACTCCCCCAATTATCATAAGGCTGAACACATTCAGGGACTAACATACATATCTACTGAAAAGAAGCTCAGGATTTGTCTCTAAAGAATTAGTACTGACTAACCATCATGGCTTTGGAGCACAAAATGATGTTCTGAGTGACATACAATGTAGTTTCCCTGGAAATCATCTCCTAACAGCCACCCAACTCTCTGATTTCAATTGCTAACACAAGATTGAGATAGAGATTTCCAAGCAAGGGTGTTTTCATTGCAAAAGGATTGTCTACCACTCTGTTCATGTGGGGCGTTATTTTTAGTTTCCTTTCCAGTTAGCCAGACTATTCAAATGGAGAAATGCAGCAGGTTTCTAGTTTCATCAGACATTCCTGTCTGGAAGAAACAGACCTGAGAACACCTCACTCATTAACTCTGGTCCTCAACAAACCATCTGGTTTCTGGATTCTTGTTTATAATCCACGGTCTGTTTTGCCTTCTCTTCCCTCCTTAAATAGAGTCAGACCCTCATTAATTTCATGCTTCAGGTTCCTGAGTGCTGGGTTACAGAAGCAACAAAAGAATAACTTAGGTGAAAATTCCTAAGTAGCTCTGCTGCCCCAGAACAGTGGAGTACAAGACTGCAAGGTAAAGGGCTATGAGGCAGCTCAATCTCTTAACTCTTGCCAATTATGTTAGTGACAATAACACTTAAAAGAAAGCTTGGGAAGTTTAAGTTATAAATTCATGTTAAATATTGAAAGGAGAATAACAAGAATGATAATCAAGGAAGGGTCACAACAATGCTAGACAATAATAGAAAATTCTGGGAAACAAGAGAATAGTAAAAGGATGTCAGTCTATAGGAGAGCAGCTGGGAAGCTGAGAATCTCAAAATAGAAGTTTGCAAGGCAGCTGCAATGTAAAGACCAAGTGCTACAGACCCACTGTGGAGCATAATATTCAAAGGAAGAATGCCAACCATTTGTTCCTTTCTATATTAGAACCACAAAGAATACAATTATTGCTAAGCAGAAACCATAATAGATTAATGGGCCTTTGTATTTGCCAGCTTTGTTTACAGGGAAATGAATGAAGGTATTAAAGGAAACCCTTCTTTGTTCTCAAGGGAATACCAATCTCCATACAGTACTCATCCCAGCTCTGTTTCAAGTACCAACTTGAGATCTCTTCCAATGCCAATAACACTATCACAACTTGCACACAAGTTGGGCATCATGTCAGTAATCCCAGCACTTGGAAAGCTCAGACAGAAGGACTGCAAGGACAAGGTTATATAGGGAGAACCTGTCTCAAAAAAACAAACGAACAAACAAAAAACTAAATCAAATGAAATACTAAAGTTTTGTTTTTCTTATCACCATTTTCATTTCTTTATTTGTTCTTTTAATTTTTTCTAGCTAATCAAGACAGAGGAAGTAAAACTTCTAATGTTCCATATGAGAAATAAGTGCTGGGTTTAATTTCTCTTCATGTAAGGACAAATTGCAATGTGTCTATGAGGTCAAGAATCAGGCTGTGTATAACATCTCCATTGACACACGCACCTGTGATGTGTCAGCTCTCCCTCCACTCGGGTGGTGCTTGGTTCTCTCCTCAGGAATATGTGATTCTCTCTACCTTTCATATTGAACTAGACACCAAAATTGTCTTTTTGAAAAAACATTTCATAACTTTCGTTTTTAATTCTAGTTTCATTGTTATCACCCTGTAACGGGTAAGTATGACAGTAACTGATAATAAAATAATGATGTCTTGGCTTGGCTTTTGTGTGTTTTCATATGTGTGTGCACATGTAGTATGTGGGTGTATGTTTATATGTGTGCATGTGTCTGTGGAGGCTGGAGGTCAGCATCAGGTATCTTCCAACTGCTCTCTGCCTTATTTGTTTGAGACAGGGTCTCTCACTGAACCCAGAGCTCACCAATTTAGCTAGACTGGATGGCCAGTAAGCCCCAGCAGAATTGCAAGAAAGACTAAGTATCTCAGGCTCCTTTTAACTGTGCAACATAAGGTTCACCAAAAAAAGCTTCCCTTAAGGATGTAAAAAATTACCCTACCATTTGCCACTAAAATGAAGGGTAATTTAAAAAATTTTTTTTAATTATTTTTATCTTGTGTGTATGAATATATTGCTTGCATGTATGCAAGTATACTTGTGTCATGCAATGCCTGTGGAGGTCAGAAGAAGGCCACATGTCCCCTTGAACTGGAGTTACAAACAGTTGTTAGCTACCATGTGGGTGCTGGGAATCAAACTGGAGTCCTCTGCAAGAGCAGTGAGTGCTCTTAACTGCTGAGCCATCTCTCCAAGACCCCCATCAAGGGTAATTGTAATCATCTAACATCTATAAAGTAAAATAAAAATTCCTTAGTCTGATATGTAAAGGCCTTCAAACCAGGCCAAAATTAACCTTCCCAGTCTTATCCCCAAATTGTTTACTCCAAAGTCATAACTTTTACAAAAAATTTTCACTTTGTTAAATGTATTCATGTATCATTTTTAGGCATACATCTAACCAGATGAATTTAACATAATCACTGATTTTAAAAAAAGCAATGTAGAGATAGTTCTAAATCTCTCAGAATTTGATCTTAGTATTTTCTTATGGTTTTGTCAAAGCAATACCACCATACACACACACACACACACACACCCATGTCATTTAGTCATAAGCAAATATCAAAGTAAAAATAGTAATTGATTTTACCAATAGATTGTTTACCTTCTAAGAGCAAATACATCTTCTCCATGAAGATAGACACTTCTGTTTTCAATTAGGGAATCCTCAACACCTGTAACAATATCTGTCACCTAGTATGGCACACATTTTTTGGAGGACATAACCACAGTGGAACAACAGAAAAATAGTTCATATACAGTCTCTTTTATTGATAGAAATAGATCTTTAATGCATAGTTTGTGTTTATATAAATTCTACATTCTTTTCAAGATTTTTCTTTTATTTGGAGCGTTTTGGCCTCCAAGTTAACAAAACTTCTATGCATTTCACTATATATAGACTTTAAAATTTTTTAGACTTTTAAAACTAAATTTGAGAAATCATGCATATTGTATACCTACCTAACCCAAAGAATTATTTATTTGTACTTTCAAAAAAGTCACAAAAATGAACTCAAATAATCTGTCATAAAACTTTCCATGTTTCATTTATGAATAAAGAAATACTTGTTCATTACTATATATTGCTTGCTGTCTCATAAATCAGATTGTCAAAAACGCTTCAGTAAACTATCTCTATTTTAGAACTACATCTTAATTTGCTTTCTCTCAGAGATGATCCTGTCAATATCAAACATTGTGTCATATGCATTATAAGGCCTAAAGCTTAGTAAGTCTCAAACTTGCAGTTGTTAGCCTGGATACTTTAACCCTAAAATTACATACCTGTACACACACATCTGGTATGCTACACATTAAATTTTAAGTAACTTAAATATATTTAGCAAACATTCTGACATTCTTACAAAGACTTAAGACACCAATGTCTAAACATAGCACTAAGCCTATGAAACTTGAAAACCCCAGTAAAGACTACTACAATACTAAGAAAAAGAATATTAATTTAACATATTGAGTTGTGCAGATACAAAAGTGCTTAGCATGACAAAATTACCAAAATAAAAACATTTTGAAGATTATTTGGTTCTAGCAATATTAACTATTCTTTACTTTTGGATAATTTAACATCTGCATTTTAAATTTTATATAAATGACCTCTTTTTAACAAGTAAAAAAATGCACACAAAAAATAGTTCAAACTATAATCTGATTTTTTTTTTCAACCTGGTTAGCTCATCACAAATAACAAGAGTGCTTAACTATTCAGCTCCGGTAAAATATAGTACTTAAAAAGGCCCAACATTTTATTCATTGTTTGCTGCCCCAAATTCTAAAACAGATTGCCGACAGACTGGACAGGTGCAATTCTCAGAAAGCCAACGATCAATACAGTGAATGTGAAATTCATGCATACAAGGTAATTGCCTGAGTTTATTTCCAGTCACATAGTCACTGATACATACACTACAGATTTTACCTAGCTCACTATCACCATTTTGATCATAGTTCCTGGTAGAAAGATTGTCAATCTGCTCTTTGGTTAAACCACGAATAGGATCATCATCACCTTCATTTAGTAAGAAAAAGTGGGCAAGCCTTAGAATAGGCAATGTTCCAGTCTCAACTAAACTGTCTGGACTTCGTAACTGCCTGCTACTTCTGTTGCCACTGTTTTGGGCCTGTGGCTGGGAGGTCTCATCTATACCTAGCATTTCAGTACCGTCTTCTTGGGCTTGGCTACCTTGTGAGGAACCTTCACTGTGCTGACTGAGATCATTAACTGTATCTAAGTTACTCAGTTCTAAGTACATCTCTGGTAAATGCTGACCATTTCTCTGATTCCCTGACTCAGGCTCAGCCTCCATTAGAGAACTCAGTTCTCCAAACCCAGTCATGATCTGCCTTAAAATTGACCGAAGAGCCACTGATGATGGTTCAACAATCTCATTCTCAGAGATCCTCCGAAGAGGAACTGTTATGGTACTGACATAAGTTCGAACGCCTGACTGCTCTACATGAGAAACAGTTCTGTGAAAGTCCCCACTATTGTTTTCAGCTGCATTTTCCACTAGGCCTACTCTGGATCGGGTTCTATTTGCAATGCTCTCTCGATTTCTATTTTCTCTCGGATGAATCCTTCGTACTTGAAGGTCTAGTGTGATTGTTGGATGTCTTTGTACAGCGGTTGAAGATCTGCTAGATTCTTCTCCTTCTTCTACTGTTATTCTTGACACAAGTCTTGAATTAGAGAATGGGGTATATACCGTACCTCTGCGTCGTTCTCTATCCTGTTCTGGAAAGACTCGTGAACCCCTATTCCTTGCAGACCTATTTCTAGTGGTTTGCTGTGGAGGTCTACTTTCTCTTTGGGAATTAGGATAAACAGAACCACTCTGCCTCTGAATTGGGGAACGGCTTCGACTACTGAAATTAGGACGTAATCTTATTGGCTCTAATCTTTGGTTTGTGTTCCTCACTGTAACATTAGTTCTAGCCCCATTTTCCCAAACATGTGCTGCTCCAAATCGCTGCCCTTCTCTTTGTCTGGGATCACTACCACCTGGCTGGTTAGTGTCAGTACTAAAATTAGAGCGACGACCACTAGTTCTAGGAATGCCACCTGTTCCCCCAATCCCATTTCTTAACCTTCCCAGTGCTGAGAATGATCCTCCCACAGAATTCTGCCCCCTTGAACCCAGCCTGCTCCTTGGAATATTGTTATTACTACCACTGAAATTCCCTGAGGTTTGGCTTCTTGTCCGACTAGCCACAGGACTAGGTGATCTTTGCTGCCTATAATTTCTGCTAACATCTGACAGGGGAATGTCCATATAATCTTCTCCTCGAATTTCAAATCCTCTGTTGTCACGGTTTATGTGGATTTCCAGACTAAACCCAAACTCCCCATTGTTTGGGTTTGTTCGACTCACAGCTCTCCAACTTTGATTCCCATTTTGTCCACTTCGAGTCATAGTTCCCGTGCGCCGAAAACTGTTCAACCACTGCAGTAGAGAATCTTCATGTGAGCTTTCTCTAGGGATTTCTGAGTCTGGAAAGAAAACCAAATCAACTTTAAGGTCAATTTCTTTAATAAGACCTTAGACCTTACTTAAAAGAGTGTAAGAAAAAGTTTGTGCTGAATCAACATCTGCATTAAACAAAGGAAAATTGACAAAACTGAATTTTCTAAAAGTATATTTAAAAGAATACTATAGAAATTAAAATGCTAGCCCTGTGTGATGATGGCTCAGTGGGTGAAGGCGTGTGCTGCCACACCTAACTGACATAAACTGGATCCCTGAGACCCATATACCTCTGACTTCTGTAAACTGTCCCCTAATCTCCACATACCTGCCTCTCTCTTACACACACAAAAATAATTATTAATAATAGTAATAGTAAAATAAATAAGTAAATAAATAAATCTTTCAAAGTCCAGTTCCCAGACTTGGGAACCCTCACCAACCCTCTGCACAAGGCCCAGTACAGACCTATGTGGACCCCATAAGGCCCCTCTCCCTCAGCCAGGCTCAGCCTCAGGAACCTCACTAGCCTCCCCCACCTGGCTCATCCCAGTCCCAACAGTGTAGTGCAATCTCTCCCTTCAACCCAACTGTGCCCCTTCTCCTGCCTTGAGAACCCTCATTAACAACCTCAATCCATACAGCTGGTCCATCTTGGAATCTGTAAGGGACCACCTCCCCTTGGCTCCACCCCTTCCACACTCCCCCAGGCCACCAAGCAAGCAGCCCTGGGACTCCTGCCTAGAGGGCTGAAAACATCAAAAAAAGACATAATCAACAACCTAACTCCAGATGCCTATGACTCACTGCAAAAACACTAGCAATATGAAAAACTAAGACACTATGTCCCCTGACTGATGCCACAGTAATAATGAACCCCAAGGAGAAACACTTAAGACAAAACTTCAGACAGAATTCAAGAGAAATTATAAATACATTCAAAAAATTAAAGAATATAAATAAACACCTGAATGAACTTAAAGAGGGCAGGAATAAACTGACTGAAGCCCAAGAAAACATAAAACGTATAAATGAAATAAGAAAGACAATTCAGGATATGAAAATAGAATTCAAAAAAAAAAGAATACTGAACAAAATCTAATCTGAAATGAAGCTGGAAACAAAAAATTAGTCAAATAAAAAGCTCAATGGAAAGTTCCACAAACAGAATAGATCATTTGGAACACACATTATGAGAGTTAAAAGACAAGGTAGAGGAACTGGATCATTCAAAGAAGATAATAAATGTGGAAAAGAAAAGTATGAATGGAATATCGCAGAATCTTTGCGACACCATGAAAAGATCAAATCTACAAATTACAGTCACAGAAGAAAGACAATTCCAAATCAAAGTCATAAAAAATATTTTCAAGAAAAATTGCAGGAGAAAAATTTCCAAATCTTAGAAAGAGATGGACTTACAGGTACAAGAGATCTTCAGAACACCAAATGACTGGAACAGAATTCTCCATGACATATATAGTTATATGTCATATAACTTAACTTATAGTTAAGATACTAAAAACAAAGAACAAAGAAAGGGTATTGATTGAAAGCTGAAAAAAAAGGGTCAAGTCACACATAAAGGCAGGCTGACCTATCATAATTACAGCTGATTATTGGATAAAAATTTTTAAAGCCAGAAGGTTTGGTAAGATATATTCCAAATTCTGAAAGATCACAACCGCCCAGCAAAACTCTTTCATAAGTGAAGGAAAAATTAAAATGTCCCATGATAAAAACAAACTAAACCAATTTATGACCACTAAGCCAGAAGGATAAATACACTCCAGAGGTCATAGGGGATAAATAACACTAGGATAATTAATCAAAAGACGTCTAAGAAAGCACCACAAATTCATCAAAAGGACAGGAATTAATGTACACCTTCACTAATAACTAAATATTAATGGTTTCAATTCCCCAATAAAAAGACAGACTTGTAGGCTGGATTAGAAAATAGGATCATCAATTTGCTTCATTCTAGAAACACATCACCATCATAGACACCATCTTAGGATAAAAGAATGGAAAAAGGGGCTGGAGAGATGGCTCAGTGGTTAAGAGCACTGACTGCTCTTGCAGAGCACCAGGGTTTGATTCCCAGCACCCACATGGTGGCTACGAACCGTCCTTAACTCCAGTTCCAGGGGAATCTGAAGCCCTCTTCTGACCTCTGTGGCAGTGCACACGGGTGCACTCACATACATGCAGGCAATACTCTCGTGCACATAAAATAAAAATAATAAATATTTAAAAAAAAAGAATGGAAAAAAAGTATTCTAAGCAAACAGAACTAGGAAACAAGGTGTAGCTATTATACTGTCTGACAAAAAGACTTTAAACCAAAACTAGTTAGCAGAGATAAAGGTCACTTCATACTCATTAAGGTAACAATCTATCAAGCAGATATTATAATTCTAAACACCTACACACCAAACATGGGTATGTACAATTTAAAAAAACAAACAAACACTACTATATGTAAAGCTACAGAAAAATCCAAGACAGTAAATAGTGAGGGGGCTTTAATATGGCACTTTCTCCAGCAAGCAGGTTATCCAGACAAAAACTAAACAGAGAAACATGGGAGTTAAATGACGCCACAAATCAAATGAACCTACCAGACATCCAAAGAACAGTCCATCAAAACACTGAGGAACACACATTCTTCTTAGCAGCACATGGAGCTTTGCACAAAATAGATTACATATTAAGACACAATGCAAGCCTTAATTAATATAGGAAAACTGAAACAACATACTGCATTTTTCTTTGATCACAATGCAACAATGTTAGATATCATGAGCAAGAGAAACTACAAAAAGTACATGAACTCATGGAGACTAAACAACACACTACTGAATGATGAATGGTCAAGAAGAAATCAAGAATTAAAATTAAAGTCATAAACTTAAATCTGCTTATCCCCAAAAACTAGGTAAGGGCTGGAGAGATGGCTCAGCGGTTAGGAGCATTGGCTACTCTTGCAGAGGATCCGGGTTTGATTCCCAGCACCCACATTGTAGCTAACAACCATCCGTAACTCCAATTCCAAGGGACTCCAACGCCACCTTCTGACCTCCACAGGCAGTACATATCACAGGTGCACTTACACACATGCAAACAATAGATTCATACACATAAAATTAAGGAAAAAATGTAAATTGTGCTACTGAGTTTCTAATTTTTTTGATATTTTGATTCAATATTCTTTAACATAAAATATAAATATCACAAAGTTTGCTAATATATATTTTAAGGCCAAAAAGTCATTTTAATAATGCCATTGAAAGAAAAAGGGAGAAAAAAAGAAAATTACAAACCAATCTCCCTGATGAACACAGATGCAAAAATTCACAAAATAACTTGCAAACAAAATTCAAGATCAAATAAAAATATAATTCAGCATAATCAACAGTGATTCAAGGATGAATCAACACATGTAAATCAATAAATGTAATTCATCACATAAATGGACTTAAGATAGAAATCATATGATTGCCTCAATAAATGCAGAAAAGGTCTTCAACAATATCCAATATCCCTTCATGATAAAATATATGAAGAGGCTAGGAATGTAGGGAGCACACCTCAACATAGTGAAGACTATATATAGCAAACCTACAGCCAACATAATCCTAAATGGAGAAAAACTGAAAGCATTCCCACTAACATCTATAGAAAGCAAGGGTTTCCACTCTCTCCACTTCTATCCATATAGGGCCTGAAATCTTACTAGAGCAGTAAGATAACAGAAGGACATACAAATAAGAAAAGAAGCATCCTTTTGCAGATGACAAGATTCTATACACGAGACCCTAAAGCCTCCACCAAAAGAACTCTTAGAGCTGATTAACACGTTCAGCAAAGTGGCAGGATACACATAAAAATCAGTAAACTTCTTATATACCAATGACAAACATACTGCGGAAGAAACTGGAGAAACAACCTTATTCACAATAGCCACTAAAAATAAAAAAAATCTGGGAATAAACCTAACCAAGGAAATAAAAAACCTCTACAATGAAAAATTCCAGGGACATTCTTCACAAATGCAGAAAATTTTTTAATTTATATGGAAGGACAAAGAACCAAAGACAGGCAAAGCAAAAAGAATACTGTGGAGGTTGCTCCACACCTGAATTAAAGAAAAAAAAATTATAGAGCTATAGTCACAAAAACAGTACTGTACCAACACAAAAACAACACAGATCAATGGTATAGAATAGAGGACACAGATATAAGTCCACACAACTACAGCTACCTGAGTTTTGACAAAGACACCAAAAACAAATTGGAGAAAAGAAAGCATCTTCAGCAAATGGGGCTGGGAAACCTGGATACCAACTGTGGAAGAATGAAAGTAGATTCCTATCTCACCCTGCACAAAACCCAACTCCAAATGGATCAAAGACCTCAAATAAGACCTAATATCCTGAAACTGCTAGAGGAAAAAGTAGGAAATACGCTTCAACATATAAAGATAGGTAAGGAAATTATTTATTTCCAGTAGTGCAGGAAATAATACCAACAATCAATTAAAGGGATCTCATGAAAATAAGAAAATAAAATCTGTACAGCAAAGAAAACTATAGTTAGATTGTATGTAGAGACAGGCCATAGAAAGGGACAAAATTTTTAGCAGCTACATATCTGACAGAGGATAAATGTCAAGAAAATATAAGGAACTCAAAAAACTAAACAAGAAAATGAAAAACTCACTTAAAAATATACAGTATGGAACTAAACAAAATTCTCAAGAGAAGAAATAAAAATGGCAAGCAAATATTCTAAACATGTCCAACAACCTTAGCTATCAGGGAAATGTAGATTAAAATTATTTTGAGATTCCACCACACTCCAGTCAGAACGGCCATCATCAAGAATACAAATGATAAATGGCACATACATGTTTTTACCCATTGATCTGGGTTACTCTCAACCTTGGTCAGAGTAGCTTCTTTTTGCAGTGGTCAGCAGAGAATCCAACAAGAGCTGGTAGTATGTGCATAGATGTAGGGCCAATAGGAAAAATTCAATAAATGTCCTCAATTCTTTATTCATTAAAATGTAAGTTCCATGAAGACAAAGATTTTTGTCTTGTTTTAGCCATTGTTAAATCCCAAGACTCTATTATAATATCTGGCACAAAAGACTCTCAATTAAAACTGTTAACTGAAACAATTTAGAAATCATTGTGCCCCAGATATACTTCAATTATGACACACTTACTGTGCTAAACTAAAATTTCCATTTGGAACCAATGGATTACGTGATGTGCAAAACTTGATGAAAATTCTGATGCACAGTAACTATACAGACTTCAACTTCAGTTTGGTCTACTCAAACAGAATTTTTTGGTTTTATTATATTTATACCATAAATATACTTCTAAATATTGAAATTAAAGCTGTTGATTTGCTGCTAGTGACAATGATATATATAGTAATCTTAGCTATACTCTAAAAAGATGAACTACCTTATAGCCAATGAGTACATTTTCCATTAAAAAATACACAAAAGACCTATATTATGAGTTATATAAATATGGTACAACTTACATATCTGAACTCAGAAAAATGGGCTCATAACCAATTTCCATTTAGACCTGGAAAAAGGCAAGTAAATACTCATTCTAAATGCTATTCCTTCTTTAATTAACTAGAATGTCAGTACGATTATGAGTGTGGAGGAGTGGGGTAAGCATGTTCTCAGCTCTTACTATGATTTCAATAGGGCCAGCAAGACACTCACATGCCAATGAGAAACCAGCTGTGCCTGTGATGCTGCATGATCACATGCACCATGTGCTAGTACACCAATGTCCCATAAACCTCTCTGCAACAATGGAAAAGTTCTGTGTTTGTGCAGCTCAGTGCAGGGGCCTCAGCTACATGACTATTGAGCACCTGAATATGGCTACTACAACTAAGGAACTTTAAATTACATTTAATTTTAATTAAGTAGCCAAACATGGCTAGTATCTATTATATTAAACAACACAGTTGTAGGCTCACTGGCAAATGGGTGTGTTCCAAGGATGATTTGTAGAGCAATGTTTGTCTTCCCTGCCTGGACTTATGCTAGCATAAGAGAGGCAGAAACTTCTATTTTGTTGACTCGTATTTTGAGGTTATATTTGTGCTGAATTCTAAGACAATACAATGATTTTGATATGTGAAATTGAGACAGACCAAGAGAATCAATCTCTCCCTGTGCACCGGGCAGGTGTAAAGCACTGTTAAAGCACTAAATTACTGTTAGTTAATGATATGCGCTGATTTCATACTATAAGCACTATTTCTTATGCCCATTTTCCTGTAAATAAGCAAAGATACTGGGCATGAGGCAATTTGACTCCTTAACTAGCAGCCACTCAATTCTTTCTTGCTGCAAAGGACACCTTGAACAAAAGGACTATCAGTCTATTCAAATACACCATAGACGTCTTAAGATAATTGTGCGAAAGACTGCAGCTGACTATACTAGTTCCTGGGGGTGTAACTCCAACCAGAGCTGTTCAAAACAGTTTTTCATAGGCCATTTGCAATCACAAGCCTGGATGAACTATCTCCATATTGGCCAGATGGGGAGCACTTCTCTTGGTAAGAGACTACTGTGACTGGTACTAAGAGGCAAGGCTACTATTGGTCCAAAACATTAGCCCTAATGACTATGATTGGTGAAGAAGGGCTGATTAGCCAAACCAATGGCTGTAACTGGACCAAACACTCCTTCTTGGGTCATACATAAGCTGCTTAGGCTTACTCAGTAAATGAAGAACTCCTTTCAAATGGTCTTCCCTTGCCCACTTTCAGTGGTGCAAGCTATCCTGGAAACATGAAAAAAGCAGCAGAGAAAGTGACTGGAGTGAGGGTGGCGACAGCAGCAGTGGTGCAGACACAATGGAGAGGGCAGCTGACAGCTGAACAAGAATCAGCCTCAAGCATGGCGCCAACCTTGTGCAATGACTTGCTCTGAACCTGATCACACGGTCACTGTGCTCACCACCAGGCAACATGACAGGTGAAGATCCCATAGTTGCCGAGTGAACTCACTTGTAGGAACACTGAGGCAACTGCCTGATGGCCTGACAGCCGAGAGTGACTTGAACTCAACAGTGCTTGTAACCAGTGCCCAGCTCCTGAATCACACACCCTAATTTTCTGGTGCAAATCACTGGCAATCACTATTAACTACTGAGGTAGTGGCCTCACTGCTGTCACTTGCTCTGTTGCTTTTTACATATTCTTACAGGCCTGAACCCACCCCTCAAAGCCAGTGTGTAATACCCATCCCTGCATCACCCACTGATCCTTCCTAACAATCTCATCTACACTGGGAGAGGATGACTATGCCTAAGTAGCCCCAGAAGTCCATGGTGCTCAATTCTTCAATTTCTCAATAGCCCCCTGAGCAGCAGCAGTTGCCTCAGCTGGAACCTGGTTCCTGAATCCTGTCGGCAGGAACCCTAAGTCCTACAGGTACCCTGAGTCCTGGCAGCAGTCACTGACAACTGAAGGAGCAGCTGAACAGTGTGAGAGCAGATGGGGCAGGAAAAGACTCCACAATACCTCTGTCACTTGTCCCATTTCTTGAGTCAGGCTGAGATGCTAGCTGTTCCTTCACTCTAACTAACCGTTGCTGTAGTTCCTCTGATGTTATTTCTCCTGAAACAATGAAAAAAAATCACTCACTTAAGAATTTTATATTTCCAAGTTTTATGAGAACTCATGAAATATAAAACTTTACCAATTGGGGCCAGTGAGATAGCTCCGTAGATAAAGAAGCTTACCACCAAGGTTGATGACCTGAATTCAATCCCCAGGACCCACATGGTGGAAGGACAGAGAAAATTCCCAGAGGTTGTCCTCTGGCCTTTCACCAAGGTACATGTATACCCCCACACAAACACATGTGCACACATGCATGCAAAATAGATAAAATGTAATAAAATTTTTTTTAAACTTCAGCAAGCTACATAAGACTATTTTCATGTTCTATAAATTGAACAGTCAAAAATTAAAAGACACAAATATACATCAACTTGGTTGCCTCTCATTTATTAATATTTCATTAAAATTGAGATTTAAACTTGAATAATTTTGGTAAAAACAATCTCAATTGATACATCTAAGAACCAATAAGTTGATGCTGGAGATGGATGACTCTCTAGTTAAGATCACCCAACTTCGGTCTCCAGCACCCATGTGGAGTAACTCACCACTGCCTGTTAATTCCAACTCCAGGAGATCTGAGGCCCTCTTCCAAGGGCCTCTTCCCTGCATTCACATGCACATACCCACACACAAAACACACACTCATACACATAAATTATTTTTTGAAAGAACCAATAAGTTATAACCCTATGCATTTTTTCAGAGTTAATTATAAATTAGGAAGGAAACAGTTTAGGGGAAAACTTTAAATCTCTGCACTTGAATTTTACCCTAAAATTTCATTATATGAACCATTAACATACAAATGAACAAATACACATATAAATTTCAGCTAGCATATTTTAAATTTGGAAAAAAAATCTATGGAGTACATTGGACTTTTGGGTGGTCATTATCTAGTTGACTGTTATACCTCAATGAGAAAGAATTGGGTTTTAAATAACATTTTATTTGTATATTATAAGAAGTAGAGAGTTAGGAGTGTAGCTCAGCATAGAATAAGGCCCTAGGTTTAAATCTTAAAAATACATAGATGGAGGAGAGGGAGAGGAAGAGAGAGTGATTGACTTGTACATACAGATAGTTAATACTTATGTACATTAGCCTGCTAGTTTGGTATGCATATATACCCATGTATCTAGTAGTTTCATGAACTTATAAAATTCAGAAGCCAGTGATTTTGTTATATTGAGTAATTCTTTAACTCATAAAAACATATACAATATTTTAGGAGAGAAAGGGGGCCCACTCTTATTTTGAAATTCTTCCTTTCAGTAATAGAAAAATATGTCTTCCCTTTTACCTATTTCTTACCAGGGGTGCCTAAAAGATTGTGGTCTCTCATTAGCCGATAATCTTCATCACTGAGTTCATTAATAAATTGGTAATAAGCTTCTTCTCTGTTGAGACGCTCTTGCTGCCATCTTCTCTCATTTTCTCCACGATTATAATCTTGAAATGAAAATTCTTCATCACTGCCACCTAACCTAGATCTAGAGGGATTCATATTGAGGCTCCTGGCTTCCTGTTCAAACATTATATACAAAATTCAAGGCATTAGTCATGGACTAAATACAGCTTTGCATTTTTAAATTACTTTTAAAAAATGTATCCCTGGGGCTGGAGAGATGGCTCAGCAGTTAAGAACACTGGCTGTTCTTGAAGAGGACCTGGGTTTGAATCCCAGCACCCACATGGCAGCTAACAACTGTCCATAACTCCAGTTCCAGGGGATCTGACAGCCTCTTCTGTCCTCCATGGGCACTACACTTACCTACATGCAGGTGCACTTACCTACATGCAGGCAATACACACATACACATAAAAATAACAAATATTTTTTAAACAAATGTATCCTCTACCCAAATTCATTTGTCAAATCTGGCAATGCGGAACTTACACATAAAACGAAAAACTGGACCTACTACTTTACCTAACCCTTAGACATTATCATTTGGTCAGACACAATTCAGCACATTTCTCATACCTGAATACTAAACTGATCATCTCTTTCCTTACTTCTTTGACTCTCTGGTAAATTCATCTAAAAGTTCTCATTAATGTCTCAAATCTTCAAGTACTTCATTTTAACATAGATATTTTAGGCTTGAACCCTGCATGTTCTTTACTTAATATGCAAAGGGCTACTGTCACATGCACCCCAAGTTATGAGGAATATGCCGCAACACATTTGTAGATGACGTCACATTGCAATACCAAAAGGTTGGACACTTCTGAAAGGGTATAATTTATCTTTATTTCCAGCAAAGTATTCCTTCCAGATTAAAGACTGTGAATGTAATATTACTACCACCATCCCATTGCACTTTGTTGAGGTAAAAATAATTTTGCCTTCTATGTCTCCTGAAAAGACCTGGAGTTCATCTCCCCTTAAAGCCCAAGAAGACCGTGGAAGCCAACAGGAAACAATATGCCATGTATGGTTCTGAGGACTGTGAGAGTACATCAGAGTTCTGAGTTTCTCCATAGAAGGCCTCCTCCTCCAGCCTGGACTGATTAGTCTCAGGAGTTTCTAAAAGCTGGTGAAATTTACTGGCCTTGTCTAAGCAAATACTATTTGGGGGCTTCAATTAAATGTTAATCCTGAGATTACTTCTAATCTAAAAGGAATTCGGGGACTATAGCTATTTCATAAATATGTTTTAAATATATCAGTTCAATAAGTCACTCAATTTCACCTGAAAAAAATTCTTTTAAAATCAAGGTATCTGTCTTTCATTCCCATTCCTTGGCCAGAATTTTCCAGGATAGGTTCCAGGTCTATCACTAAGCTAATTTGAGTGTCCTGCAGATGAAATGAACTATTTCTGACAATTTCTTAAATGTTAACTATGTGGTATAGGTTATACTCCAACTGACTCAAGAGAGGATGGAGCTCAGATATAGGCTTGTCATGGAAGCAACTCCACCTCTTGACATACACCAGGAGTTTAATAAGCAAGTGACTTTAAAGTGAAATTAGCTCAAGAGGTTAAACTACCTTAAGAGTAAGTAACTAGCTGATACCACTTGCATTAAATTGTAAATCCAAGTTTTTTTTTTATAGTGGTGACTCTTACATGTCACTTTGAATGAAAGATGCAATAGCAAGATTCACTCTGTTACCAATTAAAAAGAAGAATTTCTGGGGCTGGAGAGATGGCTCAGTGGTTAAGAACACTGTTCTTGCAGAAGCACCCAAATGGCAGCTAACAACTGTCTGTTAACCCCAGTTCCAGGGGATCCTTTGGCCTCTTCTGTCCTCCACGGGCACTGCATGAAACGGATGCACTTACCTACATGCAGGCAATACACTCATACACATAAAATAAAAATAACAAAATTTCAAAAAAAGAATTTCTTTGTCTAGGACAAGTGGGACCATAATTAGCTACAAGCATATTTGGTGGGCACAGCAGTAACATAATTTTTGTAATTAAAGTTTGAAAGTTGCAATCTGACATAAAATGAAGCTCCTCTGTTATTATTAAAAACCTAAGACCTCCTCCTCAGGTAATATTCCTGAACAATTAACCACAATTAAGCCCAAGTGTATACCTTATTTTCTTTTCAAGTCTTTTAATATGTGCGACTGCATCCATTCTTCCGTTGTTTGTACCTTTTTTGAGTGCTGCCCATCTGAAGTAATAAAAAGGAAGTTAATTACTCCGCAAATTGCCAGGAACACCTGGTAGCCTCCCAACTCTACTACAAAGCAAAATAAAATTCTCCAGGTTCTGTTAGTCGCTCACCTAGGAAAGTAGAGCCTCAATCAGATCACGAAAACCTCCCAGAAGGCCTTTCCTCCCACTGTCCCTCCTCCACTCTCAAAGGCGTCCTACCATGTTCCCTCCGGTGTCGCTAGGGTTAGGTGACTCCAGTTTACTGCTTAACCTTCACTTTCCTGTCATCCCCGCCCTCCGTCCTGCTACTGGTTCTTTTCCTGACCTTCTAATAGAGGGTCCGGGGGGCAAAATTCCCACTACAATTAACTGTGCTCTGAACCCCACCAAGCTCTTCCCAGTCTAGCCTCAACGCTTCTCTTAACGACCTAGATTGCCATTTGAGCCAATCACCAACTGGAAAAGCTCATTAAAAAGAGGTTAACCAATCGGAGAGGAAGTAGGTGGCTCCGTGAATGGCCTGCTTTCCGTGGCGTCTCCCGGAAGTGGTGGTGGGACCCACCGTGAGCCCCCCGCTCCCCCTGGCCGCAGCCCACCTCCAGCGGGAAGAGTTCCTGTCCCGGTCCTCTCGGGCGCCAAAAGCTACGAAGGGACGCGGAGGGTTCTGCTCCGCAGGCCGCTGCGCCTCCGAACCCACCACGGAGGCGAGAAGTCCAGAGTCTGTGTGGCCGCTCGGCTCAACAACCAGGAGAGGAAGCTAAGAAACTGGATCGTCCGGTTTCAGCCGGTCTTTCAACCTTTCACCACCTAGTGGAACGGAGGCGCCGAGCCATCTGCCGGGCGCTCACCGGTGCGTCTGGAAACTGCACCCGCCGGGAGCCGCGGCGCCTGCGTTCCGCCTCCTCGGTGCGGCTGTCAAGGCCCTTTTCGGGGTCAGCGCGGACAGCTACCGAGCTGGTTTTCCATGCTTTGAAATGCCAGCACCTACTTTTAATACCTTTGTGTCTTTTGTTTGTCGAGTCTGGCGAAAACTACAACCTGACAAACTGTTCGCCACTCTTTTTTCTGTCCGCCACTCTTTTTTCTCTCGGTGTATTCACTAACCCGTCTGGCCACTTTTAATTTAGTTCACTGGGACCGGGGAAATAAATGTTAAAGTGCCTGTGTTTATGCTTTCCCATAGGGAAAGCAGTTTGAAATTCCCAATATCCTTCGGCGGGTTGTTTTTCTGCATCAGTTAAAGAATTAAAAGACAGAACTGCCCGATGCAAAGTTAAAATGAGGTTATTGGCAAGCGTTACGGACTTGTCAGAAAGGCCACCGAACCCCCGGAGCTGGGCAAGACCTCCAGCTCTAAGGGGGTTGGGGTTTTTAATTTAGATTTAGGGTGCCTCACCTAGTGATTTCATTCCCTCCCTTTTTCTACTGGTCCGAAATTGTCTATATGCCCCTTCTTTAGGAAGGATTGGGCATCTGTCTCTGTCTACAAGCACAGAAATAACTGAATTGTTGATTGACCTGGATAAGAGTGGGTGCCCCAACTTCCCCTGCTCTTTGTGGTGTAACAGGTACAGAGAAATCCACCGCGTACGAGGAGAAATAGGCTACATTTCAGAGAAATAGAAGATTACTGCCGGGGTTAGGAAATAACAAAGAAATGGAAACTTACTTCGTATTGCTGGGGACAAAAATCATTTTTTAAAAACCCTCAAACTGGGGTTATTAAATTCCCCCTTCTCCCATCCTAGGAGCCCATGGTCAATTCCCCCTCCAACTACTGATGGAGGACAGTGTGAGTTCTTCAAGCTGACGAGACATTGATCGATAGGGGGCCCTCAGTTGGAGGTCTTGTCAGAAGGAGGATGTGGGCCCTTGGTAGAATTCAGATGGGATGTTCTTGGGGGTCTCCATTTTGCAGGACCATTCCATATTGATATTTTCCATTTTGCTGAGGAGAAGGTTAAGGAAGTAGGAACAGCTAGCAGTGGATCCCAATAGGAGAGGAACCCATTGGTAGACATGAGAAGCAGGATCAGAAAAAGTAAACGCAAGATCAATACTAGGCTGAGAAGCAGGCATAAAGTTGCTTATCTAAAGGAAGCCTTTTACTGAACAGTAGTTTGAGACCCTTGAGTGGCTCACAGTTGTGCAGTCTAATGATTTCTCTTTGGTGGTCTTCTTTCTGGTATCAGGACTTCAGGGCCTTAGGTGAATGTGATGGACCCAGGAGTCCAGTCTTCCCACTTGGAGTGGAGGGTGGGACCAAGTTCCCAGGGAAGGAAAGAGGGAAGTATTGATAACCTCTCAAAAAACCCTTGAAAGCAAATCTTGCATTGGAACTGTTGGTTAGGCTAGACAAGTATAGTGATTAGAAAATTTGCCCGTACAGTCACAAAAGGAGTAAGTTCCCATTTGTCTGTTTCCCAAGTAGGCTAAGTAAGACAAGAGGCAAGAGTTGGGCTTATGAGGAGTGAGTTTTCCCTGTCAATCCTCATAGGTGTCTTTTAAGAAATCAGTTACAGCCGGGCTTGGTGGTGCATGCCTTTAATCCCAACACTGGGAAGGCAGAGGCAGGCGGATCTCTGTGAGTTCAAGGCCAGCCTGGTCTACATAATGAGTTCCAGGACAACTGGGGCTACAGGGAGACCCGGTCCCAAAAAAACCAAAAAAAAAAAAAAAAAAAGAAAGAGAGAGAAATGAGTTACACCAATCTGCAATTTTTAATTTTGCTGTAACCTTTAGATAAAAGACTTTTTTGAATAAACCCTGACCAGACAAATATTTGTTCTCCATGTCAGTATTTGTGAATGTCACCAAGATCAATAACCCCAGAGAATTCCATGAATTCAAATAGAAGTTTTATTGAACTTTGGCCTTAGAAACTTTAACAACTTTATATATTGTTTCATCTTTTATATATCTTATATAACTTACTCAAACCTTTTGCAACTTGTTTAGGCTTTTCAGCCTTTTTAAAAAGAAAGTCTTGTACAAAAATCCTTCCTTACCAGACCTATCTCTATTCTTATATTTTAAAAAATATTTTCTTCTCCTACTTACTGTCCTTTGTTATCATGAGACACAGTAACGGTAACAGGGAAATCTATCATCTTATAAAAGGAAAATTGAATCCAACCCATATACTTAAGATTACCTGTACACATATTGTTAAACCATGAGGCTCTGTAAGCATTAACACAAAATAGAAAACATAAGTCAGCCAAAAATGTTGTTTTTTGTACCATTTAGACAATATTCTACCATAATTGTGTTTTGGTTTTTGAATGAGTTTAAGTAGCAGGTAGAAAAAAGCAGGAGATAGCTAGTAAAACATCATCAAGCCTAAGTTTATAATACCCAGTAGAAGTCAGCTGAGGAAGCCCTTAACAGACTTGAAAAACTTTTAGGCTCTTATTCTTGAACTGTTTTGCTGCTCTCTTTCTCTGTGTCACAGAGTCAGGGGGCTAGCCTGACTCAGAACAAAAGGTTTTGAGGATATTTTTGGAACATGCATGCTTGGGTCTGAAGTGGGAGGGCCAAATCTCAGCTCTAGAGCCAGCTTCTCCGTGAGTTCAAACAGCACATGACAATTCACTAACCTAATGGCAGTAACCTTTATGTATACACGAAAAGCATTTGTTCCTTTGTAAAATTTGTTCCCTTGTAAAGAGGTATTTTTCTTGAAGAGAGATAAACAGAGCAAGAGGATGAATGAATGAATGAGAGAAAAAAACGAATCTGGTGAATCTGGTGGTGTATCATGTATAGGAGACTTGGTATTGAATCTGGACTTGTCTAAATTTAAAGTATGTGTCTTCTATGCAATCTGTATAGATTTGTACAAATGGGTCTTACAATTTGTGGGATCATGCATTGGGAACCAGAATTGACAAAGGGGTGATGAATAGTCTGGGTTTTTTTGGTTTTTATTATTGTTGATTTGTTTTTCTTTTTCTCATCAGGATAGTTATAGGTGGGGGAACATTTTATTTTTGTTTGCTTGTTTTTGAGGCAGTCTCACTATATAATCCTGGTTGGTCTGGAACTCAGTATGTAGACTAGACTGGCCTCTAACTCACAGAGATCTGCCTGTTTCTGCCTCTTGAGTGCTGGGATTAAAGGCTTTCACCACCACCCATTGTGATTTTGGAGGGTTATCCTCGGATTGCTTCATCTATTATAAGGTCATGGGTACATGGCAGTCAGCACCCATGCTCACAGAGAATCAAGCTGACAGAGGTATCTGCCTTTATCTGGGTCGAATTTGAAATCCTCTCTGGCCAAACTTGGGAATAACTAATTTTTTGAAAACAGGTACCCACAATCATTGTGCGCCTGTAAGTAGAGACAGACAACCTGAAATTTTTTATCAATATCTTCCCTCCTATCAAGTTGTAGGATGATATAATATCATGATTGGTATTTTTTATAGGCTTCTTTTTGTTTAAGTTCAGGTTGCAATGCAGAAAGAAAGAAAAAAATCAGGCATTTTAACTTTAGTTTTAGGTCCGGCCCCTGGAGGTTGAACTGGACTAGGGATACTTTTTTTCCTTTCATGAAACTTATCTATAAGCAGAAAAGTAGGAAGTAAAAAAGAGCAGCAGAACCAGGGGTGTATCAATTAGCTCTGGGTATTCTCCCCGTTTCAATCTTGAGACTCCTCAGCTGAAGGAGATTGCTCTTAGCACAGTCTAATGAATCACTTTGGGGACCCTGGTGAGGATGGTTCTGGCCATAATTCCCATAAGTCGTGAGCTGGGTCCCTGACAGTGTGACTTGTAAATTTGAGTTGTTCCTGATGATTATTTTTCTACATTCTGCCTGGTTAATCCTATCCTGCTTGCACAGGACTCACCATCCATTGAAATCCCTGGAATAAATATTGGGCCTTCTGTGTTAGAGAAATCAGCCAATTTTTAGTGATTATATAGGGCAAGGAGGGTATTGGCTCCCTTGTGAGTTGGACCTCTAGTATTTTCTTAATTTTAAATATTTGTTGAACTCTTTATTTATAACCTGTTAGTAGTTTTTGTTTAGACTTGTCATGTGTCAGTTTAAATTTAGACTGTTGATTTGATCATTTTTCTCTCACAGTTCGAAGCAATTAATAATCCCAAATCTGTGTCTTTAAAAATATGATTCTTATTATTGGCAAAATAGCATACCCTTGATTTTAGAGACACAGAACCTAACCTTGTTATTGATAAAGCTTTAAGCAGGCACCAATATCCTGGTTTTAAAATGATCCCTTTTATACACATGCAGGCAATATACTCATACACATAAAATAAAAACTAATATGTAAAAATAATTTTAAATGACCCTTTCTTTAGTTTAAATTAGACAAGAACTTTTAGAAACCTAGATTTTTTAAATGTTACCATTGGTTGGAGTCATCGCTCCTGTAATTTCTGTTATAAGAAGGAAACTTGACATA